AATTATTTGAATTTTAGCTTACTGCTTCTAACATCACTGACCATTTTTGTCACAATACTTACGTTCAGTTAAATCAGTCCTCTATATGAATACACATATAATTAGAGCCAGAGAGACCTTTGCACCGTGAACAGCATTTTAATGTGGAGTCATAATTAAAATGGTATTACATACCTGACTGCTGCAGGCTATCATCATACTCAAGATGTGAGAGTTAGCACCATCCTCCAGCAACATTCACTGCTATCTGAATCAGTCTAAACAAGCTACGCACTGAAATTCCTTATGATATATTTGTCATTGGAAACTACCTTGCAAAAAACTATTTGCTGTGCATGATTTCTCTTGCTGAGAGAAATGTTAATATATACCATGAAAATATTATAGCAAGTGATGGGTACTTTGGGTTTAGTTCATTTTCATGGGAATTCCTGAAGATTTCTTCTACAGATGAAGCAAAGGTTTAATAGCTACTAGGCACGTACCTCTCTTCTATTGCTGGCTTTCATCTTCCAGCTAAGTAATGACCAGAGTGATAAACCTTAGAAAAACCCATGAGATAACAGCCTACAGTGGTTTTCAGAAAACCACAGTGTAGCAAGTTAATAGTTTAACCTGTTTCCCCAAAGGATTACTTCAACACTGTATTTTAAAAACTAAGGGCTGTTCTCCACAGCGCAGAGAGTGCCACTGTTTTGTCCAGTCATATTTTGGAAGCTATTCAGTTAGGACTTCCTTTTTTAACTTGTGTTTACTCACCTTTAAGTTTGTGATTGTCGTTTTATTTTTTTCCATTGAAATAATAAACTTTGCATTAAGGTCTTTCTCCCTGAAAGAAAAACAAGACTTGAATATGTTAATCCACAGCCATATTTCCACTCACTAGGTTGCTTGCCACAGCCAGTTATCAAGTGAATTAATTTTTGTTTCATTTTTTAAATGTTGTGACCAACGTTTATTTATTGCTATGGGATATATTTGAAGTACTTGGGCTTGCCACCACCCTTCACCTAGAAACAGAGCAGGAGCTTGGGGAAACCTGCTTCAGAAGTTTGACTCTGCAAGTCAATTAAGTGGTTTATTCTTAATTTGAAGTACTCCGATCCAAAGCCCAGTGAAGTCAATTACGTGGCTCTAAGCAACTGCTAAACAGAACATTACAAGATAAGCCCCAGCCTCTTACCACCATCCTAGTAGCAGCAGTGCACATTTACCCATATAGCCCAGGCAATAGGGACTAAATATTTAAACCACAAAACCCCAGTATTTTAAAACTCTCTTAGAAATGAGATACCCAACATCTTTTTTGAGCTGTGATGCATCATGGCAGTGTAAGAGAGACACTCTGCTACCAAGGGAGTGTTACACAGGTTTGTTGCTTCGCAGAGCACGATTCCAGGAAGAAAAAAAGTCC